CGACAGCTGGTCAAGAGGAATTCGCCGTCGTCTTCTGGTGGAACCGACCGTCGAATCTCTTCACCCAACATTTCTACTCGAAATGGAAGTCAGATTATGCTCCATTAGAGGTGCCAGGCCAAAGCCAGATATAGGTGCCCAGTGTGTGTGTGTACGTGTGTTTGTGAGCATTTTCGGGTGTGTGTCTTAATGAGAAGTGACTGTTGATATGCCTAACCCAAAGAGGGGATACCAATCAATGTAGATATGAACAACTGACTAGTACCATAGGATTAAATGGAACTGAGAACTGAGAGACAAGAGAAGTGTGCTCTGCGCGATTCAGCCGTGGGAAAGGTAGACCGTAGATTTTCACACCAGTGTGGACACAGGCCCCTACAGAGTGAAATGCAATCCGTGTGGAGATGAGAAAGAGGACAAAGGTATAATGAGTCTGAGGTCCAGGCACGGGCATTTTGATAGCTTGTAACTCTGTCCGAACGATAGCACGCGCCCCTTGCTGACGATGCCGACTACGAATCCGGCGAGACGTTTTGGAAAAGTGGCGAGTCAATGTTCTGATGCTCGAAACCACGAATAATAAAGCAGAAGATGCAGGACTAGCTACGTTCCACAAGGTCTCTCTGATGCTCTGACCAAATCGCGTAAACGAGGTCAAATCAACACTATAAAGCTAAAGGAGACTGCGCCCTCATAGTCGTCATAGCTACGGCAGATACTCTTTAGTCCACTCTTTCCCTTTCACACACAGACATACAGCTCCTCAGCCTAACCATACGTACATCCGACAGTACGCAATTGGAGTGATAGTAAATATATAGTTTTAAAGAGTGATAGGAGTGGTAATTAACTCTTGATGACTGAGGGTAAATGTTTCGCTCTGCTCTGATTACTTTAAGCTATTACTGCCGATTTCATACACGCAGGTACACATAAAGGCACATGAACATTAACAGGCAGACTTTCACGTGTGCTTAGCTTTACATATGAGTTGAGCTGACCATATGACGTTGAATATGATATATTTTCATCCTATTTCGTTTAAGGAGATGAAAGGCTGGAAGTTGATTTCTTCCATAGTCGCATGAGAAGGTCACATGCTTCAAATGAAGTTGGCATGGCCTTCCTTCGCAAAAGTTATTCTTAACCAAGCTAGACTGGAATGCAATTTCGACTCCGCCTAGGTCTCATCAGCACCCACAGCGGGAAGCAAATCTTGGTAGTTCAGCCTATAATCTTGACACTAACCACTATGCCACACTGCCACGAGTGCCCCCGGGGTCACAGGACAGATGTGAATTTCAAGGAAGACTATGCCTTTTCCCATATCATATTTTTTGGTGCAATTGTCGATGAAGCAAAGCTGTATTTGCTATAGCAGCCGCCGATTATATTACTTATTTTTAGCTTCATAAGTATGTCTTCGGGACTAATCGGAGATCTGATAGAATATTTGTACTGATAGTCTTGAAAGCCTACTAATGAAGTCGATTGCTATTATAGCAAATGAAAGTTCGCTTCGTCGAAAATATGATATAAGAAAGACCTAGGCTTCCTTGAAATTCCCTTATGTCCTGTGATCCAGAGCACTCGTGTCATTTTGGTGTGATGGTCAATGTGTCGAGATTATAGGCTGCACTACCAGGAATCGAGTCCTACTGAGGTTGCTGATGAGACCTAAGCAATGTTTAAACTGTATTCCAGTCCAGCCTGGTTAGGAATAGTTTTGGGAAGCAAGACTATATAAAATCTATTCGAAAAATGAGGCTTATTCAACTAATTGTGCAAATGCATCTACCAGTAATTCATCACCTTAAACGAAATCGGGCAAATATACCTCTTACATCAGGTATACTTTTAGTGTAGAAATTCTACTTGCAAACAAAAAACAAATCTCATTATAGCTAATTAATTGTATAGATTTAGCGTTTCCTCGACTCAGCTTGAATGATACCATGCTCAAATCCTGTCCGGCATACGACTA